GGTAAGTGTGTTCCTGGCTTTAAGCGCACAGACTGTAACATACGATTTTTCATGTCTAAACAAACTACTCGGCAGACGATCAAAACTCTCACTAACAAACGAAAGAAAATTTTACATTGCCCTCCTGGCCACCATCTGGACATACGGACTTGAACTTTATGGGACTGCTAAACGTTGCAACCTCAATCGAATCCAATTCCTTCAATCCAAAATCGTCAGAACAATATTAAACGCTTCTTTCTATGTATCCAGTCACACCATCCATACCGATATAAATGTCCTTCCTTTTACCGAGCACTTCCATTCCAAACTACCCCATCATCCGAACCTTTTCGTCAAAAACCTTTCATCCACCACATTACCTAATAATCCCAACAGAAGACTGAAGCGTCGGTGGCCCCGCGACAACCTTAACACCTGACATCGGTCTCCTAGTCCATCTCGCTCATCGTATTGATGTACTAACGGCTACGATCACCGGATGGTAGCAGTTCAAGCTTTCATGCTACTGTCATTATTGTTTAAATGTAAATATTATAAGTTTTACTTGTTGCGTCGAAGAATGCAGTTGTAAAAAAAATAAATGAAAAAATAATCAATATAAGATTATGAAAAGAGGTGTCATTTTTATTTTACAGTAAGATCATAGAAATATGTTTCTTATTAAAAAAAAGATTCTAAACTTTTTCTCTTAAAGGCTTTCTTCTTATCCTTTAATTCCAGCTTGTTACTTTCGACCATGACAGCATTAAACTTTGGAACGAACCGAGGTAAGAAAAATGGAGACCGCTTAAGATAAAAGTGACTTTGAGACCCATTCCGTCCCGGAAATTAACATCTCGTTCACAAAAAGGAAAATGGAAAAAAGCGGAAAAATTAAGATTACAATTATTTTCCTTCAAATCCTATATTTTAAAGAACGTTCAAAACAGCACAATTCATATTGCAGAACGGTTGAAAGAATGAACGTGACAAATATTTCATTCGCTGAATTTTTCACTGATGAAAATCCTCTCACGTGATATATTCTGGAAACCTTTGTCACATTTTATATTTATAAATCAATGAGACAACAGATTTACAATCCAGTTTTAAAATATTTAACGTCCAAAGTGTTATCAACTAAAAAATTTATAGTTCTTTAATCTTCACAGCAAAAGATGATGTATTAGGAACCGGGTTTTTTATCCCCTATTCACTGCATCGTTGAGACGTATTGTAGTTTTCCTAGTTCATTAGTTCAGTGCAATTTATTTTGTCCTACGTTTAAGAAGGAAACTGCCATTGGCTGTTATTTCTGCAGTTTTTCTGGACTTTTCTCGTACCCAGGTTAAATCTCCATAGGTAGTTACTTAAAAAGATAATGTGAGTAAAGGTTTCTTCCTCATAGCATAACCTGAGAATGGGGTCATTATTAAATATACCCTTGTTGAATCGGTATTTTCTCAGCTGTCAGTCACCGATGTTCAGTCCTGATTTCCAGGTTTAGTGGGGCGTTTTTATTCATGAGTTTACTGTGTCTGTTGTGTATGAATGTTTTTCACCAACGGTGTATTCGATAGGTTCTAACTAGTTTGCTTGCTTATCTAGTACTGATGACATTGTTATACTTTTATGTTTTACCAGGTTTTGTAGGTGTTAGGTACAGTCATTGACTATTTTAGGTGGTACATCTATTTCTTATAGGCTAATTGGCTATCTAATCATATTATCTCTTTGTAACTTTTTAATGGCACAACTATTAACAGTATGTAGTTAAAGCTTGAAAAAGCAAAGTATGTATCCCAATTGAATTTGATTCGTTATATTTTAGGCCTGCACAGAATTTTATGGAGAAAGCAGACTTCAGTAATATAAAAACAAATAATTTGTGTTATTCTTTTGGAGGCTGATTTACTGATGGGCTCACCACTATTTTGTCTGATCTTAAAATTTGTTTTCCCTTCTTAAATCTTTCTTTTAAGATTTTCTTTGACACACTTATTGAAAGCATGTACTTCAGCTTGAAAAACGAAGGTGTATGTACCAAGTGAGCTTGGTTATTCAAATTTTGATCTTGCGTAAAACTTTTTAAAGGAAAATGTCATCTTCCCTTAAATAAAAACTAACTGCTAGTGTGCTGGTTCGTTCTTGTTCTTCGATAATACCACGACCTACCATGTTTTACGCAACCGAGTATGTCTCAATTTTCGGACAATATACCATATTAGCCTTGATATTATAATTGTTCACAAAAAATCTAGGAAATTTAAAGAAAAGAAAGAATGAACACTTCATTCCTTTATCAAGCTTTCGGTACTGATGTTTTGAATTTCGCAACTTATTTTTACTTTTTATTACCGCATTTCCAGTTCAATGCAATTATCCCCTTTCAATGCTTGTGGGAGCTCGGAAAATATACAAATCGTATTTAAAAACAACCAAAACAAATTGAGGAGTTTCATATATTTTAAACGATTTAAACGGTTAACAAACAGATCTACATCTCAATCCAACCACACAAATCTGCCCATTTCCATAAATTGAAATAATGACTGGTTATATCATTTTTAGTTTTTGGAACTAGAGGTATGCGATACCAATCAATATGAGTAAAATATTGAGTATTTTCTTTCGATACCGAGAACTTTTGGTTATGGTATGTTATGAATATTGTCATTCGATACAAGTATGAATAGTTTTTGTAGTGTTGAAAAATAAACTCAAATAGATTTTTCGTCGAGTGTTCGAGTACTATTGAATTGTTGTTTTCCGTTCGAAACTTACCTCTCATCAAACTGGGAGTTTAATGTTAAGAGCGCATACTAGCGGCTGTGTCAACAAAGTTAATGGAGATTTTGAATTGGTGGTTGGTAACTCTGCTGATAATTCTGTTAACTCATAATTCTTTCCCGCGTTGCACCTCGCATTTCAATTACAATAATTTCTTATAAAATGTTTTTGTCTTCAAGTCACTAAAAAGGCACTCCTAAAAATAAGGCATGAGGTACTAAGAAAACTGAATCGTCGGCATCTTGTAAACTGTGGGGAAAACAGAGGGAACACGTCTAATCTTTTCAAAGATTTAAAAACAAAACACCCGTTGATCAATTTTCTGAAAACTTGATAACGATAAAATTGAAATACCAATTGTGTTGAAATTGTTCACAATTTTTTCTTGTTCTTACTTACGTACCCACTATATGAAAAATACTTACAAATATGAAAAAACTGCAAAACCTTGATTATTTTAACGCATAAGCCTATTTTACTCACAAGTCCACAATGAGAAAGTTCACAATTTATAAATAAACGAAAAAGTACTCATACTCGTCAATAATTTCTGGCATAATTGAGTAATATCGAATATTTCTTTCGTACCAGTATAGAGTACTGGGATCGAATATTTTCGGGTATCGCATGTCACTACTTTGAAGAGCTACTAAACCGAAAATTACGGCGCTCCGGTTATATTACAAATCCGCAAGGCATGTTGCATCTGTTCTGTCCAATTGTAATTTAAAAATTTAAAAACAGCATTTCCATACGTTTTAATATGCTTTAAAAACAAACAAAAATCATGAGATGCAAAAAGAAAGATTTAAGAGTGATAATAAAGTACAATGGAATTTGCAAAAAAAAAAAAAGTGGATTATGTAAGAAAAATGATCGATGGAATCGAATAAAAAGAAAGCAATCTCGGTAAATTTATTTGACAAAATAGAAACTGGAATAATAACAATGTTTTAAACAACTCACTACCTTCACTTTTTCCGAGGGTATCTCAACTACGAGGTTAATTGAACCATCGGAATGCCTGTATTTCATAATTATGTATTAATAAGTATGTCGGGTTCGAATGCAGGGCCGCAGGATTCGAACCTGGACCTTTACCTTATAGTGATGAGCACCGTGTCAACGCCTAAATCATTACGGCCACCGACGTAACTTTACTTGTTATTATTGTACGTGCTGTATGCCTGACGAGTCAGTATGAATGTATGAGGTATTCCTAGCTTCTCCTGTACATGTTTCAAATCGAGGGAGGTTTTTACATAGTGCGCTACCAATCTTTATACAGTGCCTAGTTTTTGGCTAGCTTGATTTTATTGACTTTTAGTCCATTTTCGGCTTTTGACCCAAAGATTTACCCAAGGGAATTCTTGTGTCCATTATATGGTATAGCATAAGCCACATGATGTGACGTAATAATTAGAAGCAGTAATCAAATACCAAAGATAAAGAAAGTGGACGGAAGGAAGAGAGGGAGTTCAGTTGAGGCGTATCCTTTGAGGAGTAAATATTCCTGATTTTCTTATTCCTATCCTTTGAAGTGAGTCTTACAAAACAGTTGCAACCATAATCTTTTTCTTACCCATTATTGAAAAATAGTTAAATTGTATATAGTAAATTGTACATTTTTTTTATATTACTTTAAAATACACTTTTTTGTTGTTGAGATATTGTCTCTCTTTTCAATTGCACTTTCCCAGTGAAAATGAGGGTTCCAGATTAATTTCTTTAAAAAAATTCGTACTCATTTTAGAAACACTGTTCTTTCATTGTAACATTGTAATTTCAGAGGGTTTTTTTTCCCGGTAAATGCAATTAATGTGGTTTTTCAGGGGTTATCCTGAAGGCCGTAGTGTCAACACTATTATGTTGAGTCTTTAGAGTGGGTTGTTTTAAAATGGTGGCCAATGTTCTACGAGCTAGCATGAAAATATCATCTGATTTGCCTTGGGCACATTCAATTCCACAACCACATTTCTCAGCAAGATTTTCTTTCAACATATTTTTTCAAAGTTACTTGAGATAATGGATAGAAGTTGCGTATTAAATGTTTTTTCAGACCTATTATTGTGTACGTTTCATTTCTGACAGAAAAGTGCTTCGAATCAAATTACATTGACATATTAATATTTGAAAAAAATCCATTTTTTATGTAAATTCAGGAATTAAAAAATTTATTAGTTAAAAAACCCATATGTTACACAAATTGTAAACTAGGTGGTTTAACATTATCTTCTTTTTAAAGGTTTATTATATAAAAACGTATGATATTTTAATGAAATTCTTTAAAAAAAAATCATTTCGCGTGTAAAATAATTGATGTGTATGAAGTTTTGTGCTGAACCTTTATTACTAATTTTCATATTATCATTCGACTAACAACGAAATCACCTTTTTTCAAAGAAAATACTTCTCGACATGAATGGACGTAACAGTATCAAAAACCGGTTGGTAATAATCGAATACTTAGAGTGTTTCGCTGTGGTAAATTGCCAGATGATGATGTTCGATTGTTTGGTTACAAACGAACTTAATATTTCAAGCTATGCAACCGTTTTGGTAAACTGCATTGGACACATTCTTCAAGCCGCGTTGAATCCTCTAGTCGGTGCCTTAGCGGATTCTCTGACCGGAAATTTGTTTTGGATAGTAGTAGGTATTTCTTTATCGATCTCTTCAAACATATTCGGTATTTTAATCAACTTTAAAGCCATACCAATTTATAACAGACAGATATTGTTTTATTTGGCCTTGTTCTTGTTGATTAGCGCCAAGATGACAGTAGGGACAAGGAACGCCCTCCTCTTCAATTATATCATCACTGATACCCGTTCGAATATTGATCAGTTCATATTCATGATAACTATGGCTAGAAATGTCACAAAAGCTGTTGCGTCAATAATTTACTGTGTTAACTTTTACTACCGATCCGGACCTGTGATATTCTGCTGTTTAGGTTTGTTGGCATCCGTAATAGGATTAATTATATTACTTTATTCAAGAAATAAAATTCACATTGAACCAGTGGAAAAAGGAATTTTTTTGAAATGCATCAAGTGGGTATTTCAGCGGAAAAAAATAAATGATGCCGACCAGATATTCATAATCGCCAGTAAGGGAAAACTGGTAATGAACATACTTCTTTCTTCGATCGGGTTTTACACATCCTACCACTTTTTATTCCAGGTTTTAACTCATGAATTTTCTTTGTTAACAACAAATTCGCAACTCACTAAACGTGTATTGGTATTTGTATTTTACACATCAAACACGATCTTATTAATCTTTGTTAACCACTTCTTTTTAAACGTATATAGAAAATGGAAAGTGGATGATGTCGATCTACGTTTGCAAGGAATCGCGTACAATTTTATGTGCATCGCGATGATTTTACTTTATTTGACTTTGTACAGATTGCGTTACGCGTCTACCGCCATGATAGGCGAAGCGCAGATAAGACTGTACAACGGTGCCAATGAAACTATCCGAATAAAAAGCTCTGTGTCCGACATCCAAATAAATCCGGGAAAACTACGGGAAATAATGCACCTTCCTTGCACGAGAGAATGCAATGTTCCAATTCAAATTGAGTTTCTACATACGAAGAGAATAATGGATACCGAAATAAAAGGAGAAGAGGTTCGAAGTTATACTTACATAATCAAAGACAACACCATGGTGAAGATAGAAAGAAGTGACCCGGTTGAATCTCCGAAAGGCACGTCCACGTTCTTCGTGTTCGCTAATGTTGACATCCTCCAGGGTCTCTTAATATTCGACGACGAATACCCAGTAAGTCTCGTTAAAAATTTAACGGATTACGTAACCATTACTATTCCTTCCAATTTAACATTCAACGGATTCAAATACAAATGGCAAGACGAAATTTACAACCATAGCACTTTTACGTTGACATCAGGAACGGTATACTCAATTTTCATACACGTCGTCGGAAGTGTCACTACTTACGAGACAAACATTATCAAATTAAATCTTACTAGAAGAATTAATCTGTTTTTGTTAATATTTCCAATTTGTTTCGGCGTTTTCGCGTTCAACGTCGGCCAGCTGAGCCTAATCCGATTCGTTATTCTTGAAGCTCCGCAGCAAATATCTTCATTCATAAGCAGTATTTTGGCCTTCTCGATGGGCGTCGGAATCATGACCTGGGGATTAGCCTATTCGCTCTATCCTATTTCGGAAACCTCAATGGCTGCTTTCGCTTTCAGTCACATTGCATTCCAATTTTGGTATTCCAAAGTTCATTCATCATATGTTCTTTTCGTGAGGAAACAGAACAAAAAACGATCAACCTAGCTGCAAAATACAAATGGAACATTTCATGACTTGATCGTGAAGTAAAACAGCATGGAAAATTTTATAATAAATTGTTCTGACAATTTTTTTATTACTTATATTACTACACTTAAAAAACATCGTTAACCGTTTTACATATTAAAGATCAAATCTTTGAAAATCATTTTGTTCTAATCAGGGCACCACAAATTTAGGATATCCTAATTCTACCATAGTTGTCGGTTTTTTGTGACCTCACCTCCTAACGCTCTTGCCGTTCGTTTCCTACAGACAAACCTTACTATCCTTGAGAGAGTATTGACAGAAATAATAAATGATGGAGTGAGTATGGTGTTCAATCCTTTTTAAAAAGATAGTTCCTACTCACAGTAAGTTGTTTAGCAACGATCCGGATTTCGAGTCCTTTAGCCCATCATCAGCTTGAACCAACTTTAAACGAATCAACAATAGGACTCAGCCAACCCACCACAAATGAATCATTAGGTTTCCGTTGTTTGGCATACATTGGTGAATTATCGGAAAAAGTTAGTTAAATTTTTAAACAAGAAGGTTTTAGAATAGCTTTTTGAAGTAAGGGTTTACTTAAAAACATCCTCTCCAAACCTAAACACAAGGTAGACAACTTGGCAAACGAGGGATTTATCAACTCAATTGTAATGATTGTGATATTAAATATATAGGACAAAGCGGTAGAGAAATAAAAACGAGAGTAAAAGAACACACAACACTTGCCTAAATCGAGCCAATTTTTGGAATTTAAGGACCATCTAATACCATAATAAAATATAAAATAAATGTATTCTTATTTGATTTAAAAAACATAAAACAAGACCAGATAAAATTAAAATTAACCTTTTTCTATTGATTTGAATTGAATTTTCTATTGATCTATATATAAATTTAAATTAAACAACTTCTTGAATTACGATCATTTGACCAGATCGTGGTATTCGATTGACCAGATTGAAACAAAATGAAAAATTATTAAAGTTTAATGAAAAGAAATGAATGAAAATTGACTTTAATAATATTATTCATGTAGACGTGCACGTTAACTATGAATTAAATTAACTTAACGAATAAACTTGCATGCAATAAAATAATAATAATAAAATAAACTTAAGGATGAAGTGAAATGGCGAAGCAAGTATGAAAATTGAAGATATGAAGTCGCAAATGATGAAGAAGCCACATATGATGAAGAAGCACGGATGATGAAAAATTCACAGATGATGAAGAAAACCAGACGAAACTACGACGAAGAAGAAAAAAAGATGAGATGAAGATCAAAAGAAAATACAGCCTGGTGACGTTACGGTATAAACAGTAGATTCCCCGATCTTTTCGGCGGTGGTCCCTGATGATATAGGGATCGACGATGGGACGTGACGAAATCGATATAGCAATCGATAGGCCGATGTACGAGAAATAGATGTTCTATATTACAAAGTTGCTCAAAGACTGCTTCTCGACGTCTAATTCTGGATCAAGGGTCCGCGATAACGGCTAATCCATTTTTGTTTTGTCCACTTAATCCGTTATGGATCGCGTAATCAACAATTATTTGAACAAATTAAAGATTTATCCCCGATACATGTATAAAATAATAATAAACTTACTTCATGCAAACATAAATCAAACATTAAAATATATAATTAAGAGAGAGAGAAAAAAACGGGGGAGGAGACTTCGTAATTTACGATAAAATATAAAAGAAAAAATGCGCCTTAAGATTCAGCGTTCTAAAAAATGAGACCTAGCGCAGGTCTGTGACCTAATAGGCTGAGAAAATATGCATTCACAAAGTTGGCGATTTTTTCGTGCACAAACCAGGTGTCAATTTTTTTGTTTTGAACAGTGCAGTTAGTAAGTGATGCATTGCTGTCAGCATTGATTACCGATGGATAAAACTACTTGTAAATTTGTTTGAGTAATAAGTGGGTTGCATTCCTATTTTTTGAAAAAAAAAGGTTCAAAGTAAAATATATCATTGTTAAATGAATCAAGTCTATTGTTTAAATCAAAGAATGTAGATGAAAGTAATTACTATTCTAACACATACATATTTAGCATTTTAGTTATCTGAATTAATTGTTATCTTTATCTAAGGTCTTGGTTGAGATGGAAACATATGTTGGCAAGATAAGACGAAGGTCGTGGTTCGAAACTCGCTCGTGACACCAACATTTTTTAATAAGTAATTTTTATTGCAGAATTGCAGAAAAAAACTATAAAAATATTCGTCGTGCAGATTACAACTATTAGATTTTTATCTCTCGCTTGTTTTTAACAACTATTGTAGTTTTTGAGTGTGCATCATTGGAGGTAAAGCAAGTCTGCAGCGAGACATGAAACAATTACCATCATAAAATTGTTGCGAGTGATAATGACAGAGATTGTTTACTACTGTTTTTTAAGCGTATTTAGAAAATGGAAAGTTGATGGCATTTATCTTCGTTTACAAAGAATTTCTTATAATTTTAGTTAAGCATTAATCAACACAATTTAAAAAAGGCTGTTTAAAATAATATTGTGCCTTCATTATTATTATTATTCTTTAGCACGTTTGGATATCGCCACAAAGAGCGATGGTTTATCACTAAGAGACCGTAGCCCCCATCAAAAAAAGATGAGGAAAAACGCCTATATGTTTACGTGTGAATTTCATTATTGTATACACGACAAAAATAATTTTTTAACTTTCAAGCACATTAAACATAAGATTAAATTTGAGTACAACTTTAGAATATCAAGCAATAATAAGCTATTATTGTATTTTATGCTAAAAATTTCTCATCATAAAAAACATGTTTTCACAGCTTTAAATGTGGAAAATAATAATTAAAAACATCAGTTCGCAGAAAATTTAATGTTGTATTGAACATATGATATTTGGATTGTTATAAAGTGACATTTTGCATTAGGTTTTTTAAGATGATATTGTTTGTTTAAAATTATTTAAAAATGGAAGAAAATATACTCACATTACCCAAATCGAAAGAATCTACGGAACATGCTCAATCGAGTCATCTTCGAGAAAACACAGATTCTCCTACCACACATAGTGAACAAGACGTTACACTGACAAGTAATGAAATAATGTTATTTATATTAGATGGCTGTCTCAATGCTTCGTCAACAAGTTGCGCTTTTATGATAGTAGACACCAAGGTTCTAGAAAGTATTGGCACTAATTCTCATTGGTATATTATTTTAATCATTGGGTAAAGTATTAGCAGGGTTTGCCAATCCGTTGGTGGGCTCTATTGCTGATTCGGTGACAGGAAAATTTTTTGTAATACTAGGCAGTTCCATCTGCATAACCATTGGTAATGTAGTGTCTATTTTAAGTAATAGTGAAAATATTTCGGCATTTTAAGCATTACTTTGAGGCGGTTTGCTTTATTCACGTTGTTGTTGTTCAGGTCTACGTTTGGAACAAAGGAAGCCCTGATCTATTCTCAATTTCTCACTATAGAAGCAAAGCATAAATTAGGTTATTGTATATTTATCACCTTTTTTCGGCATATTTCATTAAAACGTGTGTAACTAATGGATTTTTTATCAGCATTTATTTCAAGCCGTTTAAATATATTTGCAGCTTTTTTGGTGTTTTATGTGGATGTGTTGCGATCCTGATGCTAATAAATCTAAAAAAAAAGCTTCAACCTGAAGAAATCGAAAAAGGTATCATTCCTAAGTGCATCAAATCTCTTTTTAAATCGAAAAAAGCCGATAAAAATCTCTACCATGTCAGACTAACAGAAAAAATATTGAAAATATTCGTCTTACTTGTTACCACTATTGGATTTTTCATGTCTGCCTATTCGATAGATGTTGTGATAATCCCTGAATGTTCGTTATTTGAAGAAGAGAAACGTATCCAGCGAGACTTGGAACAATTTCTGTTACATTTATGCTATTAACCTTTATGTTGGCGTTTGTTTACCACTTCTTTTTAAACGTGTTTAGAAAATGTAAAATCGATGGAATTGACTTCGTCTACAGGGAATCGCATATAATTTTATGGGTATCTCGATGATCCTTATCTGTTTGGCCGTGAGCAGCCTGCGTTACATGTCAACCACCATGAAAGGCGAAGCCCAACTCAGACTGTACAACGGTGCGAATGAAACAGTTATGTTAAAAAGTACAATATGCGACAAGTGCCTATTAAATCCGGGAGAACTTCGAGAGATTTTACACATTCCTTGTACGGTAGAATGCAATTTTCAAATTCAAATCGAATTCTTAGAGACAAGGAGAATAATAACCGCGCAATTACAAGGTAGAGAGGTGCAAAGTTTTACGTACATTATAAGAGAAAACGCCCTGGTGAAGATAGAAAAAAGCGATCCGATTGAATCTTCCAATGGCACGTCAACGTTTTTCACGTTTACTAACGTAGACGTCCTGCAAGGTCTTTTAATATTTGACGACGAATATCCAATCAGCCTCGTTAAAAATTTGACCGATCATGTAATCATTACTATTCCTGCTACTTTAACATTCAAAGGATTCAAATATAAATGGAAGGATGAAGTTTACAACCATAGCACGTTTAAACTGGCATCAGGAAGAGTATATGCCCTTTACTTACACGTCATCGGTAACACCACTACTTACGATACAAACATAGTCAAGCTGAATATTGGTCATAGATTAAACCCGTTTTTGTTGTTTTTGCCAAGGCTCGTCAGCCAGTTTGCTTATATTATTGCTCGGTTTAGCCTTGCTAGATTCATAATGATGGAATCGCCTAAGCAAACGTCCTCATTCTTAATGAGCGTTTTGCAGATGTGTATATACGTAGGATATATTTCCTGGGGTTTACAGTACTCCCTGAGTTCTGTATGGATAGTCGCACTTGTAGTTTTCACATGTGTACACATTTTGTTTCAATTTTGCTATTCTAGGAGTTATACTAATTATATTCTTTGGTCAAGAAAACAAGATTTTTAATTGGCTAGCTGTAAAAGCGATTATATTTTTCGACTGTCTAATTTTATAACGTAGTTACGTTAGTAATACTCCACCAATAAAATGAAAAACGACACTCCTTCTTTCCTGCCAGTATCAAAAAAATGCTATAAGCCGAAGCTAGAGAATCTAAGCAAGAGAAACAAAACAACAGGAAAAATGAAGAATCTGCAAAATGTACGAGAGCCCAATTGTTTGGATAAAGCTAGAAAATATAAACGTTAAAAAAATCGTAATTATAATAATTTTGCATGTTATTTGTTTTTTCGTAGAATACACATTAAGCCTATGGCATAAAAACAATGACTGTAAAAAGTGATGAATGGTGGAGTGAGTGTGGTGTTCAATCTTTCTATAAAAAGATAGTTCCTACTCGCAGTAAGTGTACACTGTGAGTAGGAACTATCTACATGTACATATTTAAACCAGTCATTAATTTTCTCCTTCTTTATATGGAATTGTTTAGAATCTGAAAGGAAATATAAAGGAATGAAGATCTATTTAACAATCACTCAACACGGACCTTTTTCAGTATAACTCTGTTGGCGTTCCTTCTATTCTATGTCTTTAGAACATGAGTTATCCCACAGGGCAGCGTGCTCGCTCCTTTCCTTTATTCGATTTATACCTCCGACCTACGTACGCAACCTAATCATATTACCTCTTTGTAACTTTTTAATGACATAACTATTAACAGTATGTAGTTAAAGTTTGAAAAAGCAAAGTATGTATCCCAATTGAATTTGATTCGTTATATTTTAGGCCTGCACAGAATTTTATGGAGAAAGCAGACTTCAGTAATATAAAAACAAATNAAAACTTGATAACGATAAAATTGAAATACCAATTGTGTTGAAATTGTTCACAATTTTTTCTTGTTCTTACTTACGTACCCACTATATGAAAAATATGAAAAAACTGCAAAATCTTGATTATTTTAAAGGATGAGCGTATTTTACGCACAAGTCCACAATGAGTAAGTTGATAATTTATAAATAGACAACAAAGTACTAATACTCGTTAGTGTTGAATAATTTCTGTCGATAATTGAGTAATATCGAATATTTCTTTCGTACCAGTAAAGAGTACTGGTATCGAATATTTTTGGGTATCGCATGTTACTAGTTTGAACAGCTAGCTACTGAATCGAAAATTTACGGCGCTCCGGTTATACTACAAACCCGCAAGGCATGTTGCGTCTGTTTTGTCCAATTGTAATTTAAAAATTTAAAAACAGCACGTTTTACACGTTTTAATATGCTTTAAAAACAAACAAAAATCATGGAATGCAAAAAGAAAGATTTAGGAGTGATAATAAAATACAATGGAATTACACATTGGGGTAAGTGTGTTCCCCTGCTTAAGGCATAAAATTGATTTGAATTTGTGAATAATTTATTAGTATACGTGCAAAGTCTTACTATCCTTTGACATTATTTTCGTTTTTTATCACAAATGTAAACAATGTATTTACAAAAAATTAAGACACATGTTAGTAGTTAGAATTTAATGATATGACTTAAAACCAGTACAGTGAAAAATAAACCAAATATAGGACATACACAAGACGCACGTGATTTATCTAGTTTCATAAAATTTAAATCCAATTCATTGACGATATTCACGAGGATTTTTCTACTGCAGTTGTAGTTCCATGACGCTACTCCAAGCATGACGTTGTTGCAGACGAAAGGGGAGCCGCCATCGCCTCGACACAAAGACCCGAAGCCAATATGTACGTAAGCGCAAAATGCGTTATTTTGATAAGGCCAAAATTTACAAATCTTGCCGTTCACCTGACACAAGTTTTCTTGACAATCTTCCGGCGTTATCAACTGCAGTTTCCTCAAACGGAGCGGGATCTTGTCTCCGAAGCAGCCATCTTTCTTGTTGTAACGGATGCAACCCCAGCCGAAGACGTCACACATTTTGTTGCCATTATACCTGTATGACTGGTCTTGGAATATATCAAACCGGGCTCTTGTGTAATCCGATTGTGTGGAAGGGAAAGAGATAAATTTGATGGATTGCCCTTCTTCAAACGGTTTCTCGACGTAGATGATGCCCAGGTTGTTAATCCAAATCCAAGATTCGGGGTCTATTCGGCATTCGGGGTGCTGGTATAAAGCTTCCACTTTGGCGGTTACGTAGCCATCCTCTTTCGGAAAGTTGTACTTGCTGCCTGCGGACACCTGATACTGATAAGGAGGAAGTGGAGCTACACGTTGCTCTGTACTATTAACCTTCTCGGAAATACACTTACAAGATGTGAGAAGATATGATGGCGAGTACAACGTAGCACCGCATATATGTTTACCGTCTACAGCTTGTTGAAAACTCGCCATGAACAAACCTTCTGTCTTGTAGGCCTTTCGTCCGCCGATGATTTTCTCGTCGCGTATTTTGCATTGCACATTCACGATTAAATTGCATGTGGCTAATGTAAAAATGGCAATTTTTTTAACTTCTGTTGATATGAATAACATGAGAATGGTGAAATTCACTGCGTAAGGTTTGATAAATTAATAAATCTGACTTCAACCCCGACTCATAGAACATCACATTCGAAACGTTATACACAACAGCACTTTCCGAATGACGCGGACGTTGGAAACTAACTTGCGTCTTTTTCAACTAATTAGCTACAATGAAATTTAAAGCCAGGAAAAATCCTTCAGTTTAGATGTTACATAACCGGATGTAAGTACAAAGAAACGACAAACAAACAATCTCATTGTGTTACGAAACGTTCTAGTAAAAGTGATATTTCACATTTTAATGGGTACTCCTTTGTAAAACATATGTGTTCATAAATTATTTTTTCACGTGATTCCTTCCAACGGAAGATGAATCCTGAGTAAAAAAAGTAAATCTGAACATGTTTTATTACATTTTTACAATTTCATCATCTAAGCGTTATGGACGCAATTTTGTAATTATTTCTAAAGCGTATTTACATTTTCTTTCCTTTCAAAATCGACGAAAATCGTACGGCCGTTATTTTATTAATATATTTATAAAATTGCTATGTAATGTTTACCATAATTTTTTGATATGGATGATTTTGCAAACAACAGAACCCGTTTTTTGTGTAAAAAAAATTTTCGACTTTCAACAGCCAATTTTTATTATATTTTACTTATATAGGAACAATTAAACATATGATTTACAATTTTTTATTGACACTTTTATAGAAAAAACCAACAAATGGTTTGACTAGTCAATATTTAAAAATTTTGTCTTACAACCAGTAACCGAAATGTTAACAAAAAAGAAGACAATCTCCTGGACATTGGGTCGTGGGTTCGATACCCCTGGAATTTCTGGTCTTTCTCCCTTCCAACAAAAAGATTCTTGTCCTTCATCAACGTACTCCGGTTAATATGCGAAGCGAAAGGCAAACAAATTAAAAAAAAAAAAAATATATATATATATATCGTAAAAGAGGTTTCTTTTTCACACAAATATTTGAGAAGTTTAACCCCCGTCTCGAGGAATATCGAGTACGTGACGTATGGAAAGTGAAGTAAGTAGCGAGATTGGAATGGGTTCAACCCGCACCGAGGAATATGGAATACTCTGGTGGAGTGAATGTCACCAAACTTCTGTTTCCATCGTTTGCTACTTTTATGTTAATTTATTGTGATGGATGTAATTTATTAGCGTGAACGGAACGCCCCGAGGAATATGAAGTACTCTGGTGGAGTGAATGTAACCAGACTTCTATGTTTCCAACGGTTGCTGTGTTTGTGTTTTATTATTGCGATTGATGTCATTTATTAGCGTGAACGGAATGCTCCGAGGTTATCAAGTACTCTGGGGGAGTGTATGTGACTAGACTTCCGTGTTTATATCGGTTAGGGATGTATATGTATTGCATGTGGTGTGTCTATTTTGTAGTTTACAACTTGAGGCACAAAAGGCTAGCATTTTAGGATATGACGTATTATACATATAAAAGCATAGAGTCAGGAACCAGATCGAGACGGTGAAATCGCTGCGGTTTCAAACAAAATATTCTTGAAAGACCAGAAAAAGAAGAAAACACGCAGAAGGCTGGTGACCTCACCTGTTTGTCTGTCATTGTATATACATTGCATTTTGAAATCAAAATCCTCAAGTATGCGAGCTTGAATCTTGATGAATAACAAAACTATTACAAGAACAAAAAAACACAGTATTATTAAACGTCAACTAAGAGTGAAAAAGTGATTTTCTTTATAGCTTTCATAAAAGCTGCCTTTGATTACGTTCACCGAGAACTTTTATTCTTTATAATATTCTTCATACAGGATGAAATTGTACTTAAAATTTATAAAAATCCGCATATGGAGCCGTGAAGGGAGATCTGAGATTTTTGAAGTAAAGTATGGTATTAGACAAGGTCGTTTCCAGAGGCCTCTCTTGTTTTCTTTATCCATAAGCAATCTCGTTGATGTTCCAGCTAAAAGAGCGTAGTTTTCAACAACTTTTTTTTTAATGTATATGACATTGTAATAATTGCAGGCAGCTCTGAAGATCTTCAAAACTATATTAAAAAGTTGGAATCATAATAGGTACTTATAGATGGGATGTTATAAATATTTTACTAGTGTCAAACGTGTTCACTTAATTTCGATTGGATATATTGTTTATTATTAAATATATCTCTGTGCAAATGCCCATTTTGAATATGATGAAAAATGGTATCAGACTGTTATTGCTTTAATTTACATTCCTCTCTGCTCCCTTCTTAAAACGCAAGAAGCGCCAACTTGCCTCATCGGTTGTAAAGTAAGGGAGAAGTGGCCTGATCAAGTTAGAGTATTTAGGGCGGCCCGTCCCTTGTTTCAACTTTCACCGAAAGGGAAGGGCCATGGTAAAAAGTGTGAGCACAGTTGCCAAAGTACACAGCTCATTATGGTAGGAGTTTGATCGTGGCCTTCGGTATTCCGGTCTCGCCTTCATTACCAGCGCAGGAAGAGCAGGGCGGTGTCATCTGATTACCACTCCTCGAAGCGTTCTCACTCGAAACCCTTTCTCCTTTCGCCCCCTAATGCCTGCCGTTGACTAATTCCAAGGAGGCTTTAAGAAAATAATACTTTTTAATCAATAGAGTTTTTCGTATATTTCTTTAAACAACCAGGAAGAAAATACACAAACAAACATAATAAAAATTGAAACATTTAAAGAACTATAAATCTTAATAGGTTTATTTGCAAAACGTACAATAATATACAGTCCAATTTTAACCTGTATCGTATTAAAGAAAAAAACACTTTCAGCCAAATAAATGTTAATTCTAAACCTCTCAAAGATTAATAGGGATATTTGTAATCTAATCTTATTCCATTAATTTTAATTAAATTAACCGAGATGTTCTTGCTAATTGGATAAAACATAATAGAAAATACAAATGAAACAAATGTTAACATTCATTTTTAATAACGGATTTACTTAAGAATAATTGAGTTATGTGCACTATAGGTAATCATAAATAAGAGATGTATATATTTGCAATCATGTTTCAGCTATTATTATATAATTATGTTCTATTATTACATTACTGAAATTTTTGAAGTAAGTATGAATTCCTTTTGTAAATATTAATTATAATTACTTGTAAACAAGAGAGATTTTAGTTATATAAGTTTATGTGCTAGACTCCCCCAGAGGTTTTAAACCATGAGGAACGACTTTCTTGCTCTGTAATATATACTGCCGATCTGTAAACTTTGTATGTATATTAAACAATAAAGACATATAGTAGTAGTAGTACTTAAGAATAGTAAACATGAAGATTACTCATTTTGTAAACAAACACCTTTTCTCGTCTTTATCAATTTTAATCCAATTGCATTTTCTTTAACCTTAGAAAGACATCATTTTGAACCAGAAGTTCGCAATATTATTGTGAGAATATTACCATCGAGGTCACCGGAAAGTGGATATCGCAGAGGCAGTTGGCGTTTCGCAGAGCCTGGTCTCCCGGGCTTTAGCGATATTCCGAGAGATTGGAAATGCCAATAGGAGGCCTGGTAGTGGTTCTCAGTTCATTACTAGGGTGAGGGAGGACAGGATCGGAATTGCTAGCTATCTACAGAATAGGGTCGCAGCATACGAAGATGCAAGTAAACTCTGCAGTAAGGAATTGACGATGGGAGTCCCACAGGGCTCTGTTCTGGGACCGTTTTTTATGGGCCATACTGTCCAATTGTTGGTGGCCTCCCGGCAGTCGCATACGTAGATGACCTTAACTATCATCTTGCAAGCATACACGAAAAGGGGTCTGGAGCAAGTCGGGAAAATGGCCGTAGAAATAGTAGCCGATTGGTGCTCAAAGAAAAAGCTGAGATTAGCAAGTGAGAAAAGTAACATTATTATGTTAAAGGGACAGTTGAATAAGATAAGTCTTCCAGTTCAAAATAACGGTTAGTCCCCAAAATTTTAAGTTGTTTGGTGATACTATTGGGCGAGAAGGCAAATTTAAAACAAACACTCAAGTGGGCAGCATTTGGCAAAACCATAAATAGGTTAAGGTGTAATCATGCTGTATGTAAAGAATATGTGGCAAAAGTAGACTTGACTCCATCATCAAGATGCAGCATGGATGGAACAAATGTTTATGAACTGTGCAAGGTTTAATCAAGAAAGAAATGAATTTTTCCCTAGGAAAACTATGGAGACGCCGTTTGATTATAGTAAATATTGTGCCTTGGGAGTGTAAAGGTGTATATCTTGTTCAAATATTTAAATAAAATACCCCATAATGTGTAAGGGTCGCTGGTTGCGGGGTGGTCGGCTCGCTCCTGGTGGGATTTCCGGTGACTGTCCGGTGCTCTGGGCTGTGTTTAAGCCCATGCTGTGGAAGGGTGTGAATGGCATGGCACACATACACATCCTTCGTATAAGTAATAATTAGAGAGAAGTACTGGCTTTCATGGGGGTGCCGTGCTGGGGGTGGGGGTGGGGCTGCCCCATTTCTAGCGGTTCGCTAGGCGTTATGTACAGCGCAAGACAAGAGGGTCACATGGTTGATGGCTATATAGCCAATACCATTAAAAAAACACTAAAGAAGTGAGTTGTACCCAAATAAGAGCAATTAGGGACCAACATGATATCACCTATAAAATCCGCCTTATTATGTACCAATCTGTATGTGAATCAACTATAGCGTACTCGTCACCTTCATGGTCAAGGCACATCAAAAAAACAGGTTGGGCAGAGCTCACGAAAGCGCAAAGGAAAGCATTACTGCCGGTCACGCAAGCCTATAGGACCACATCGACGGAGGCATTACGAGTTATCTCAGGACAGATGCCTATAGATTTGCGAATAAATGCAGCATAAATAAATGCTATCAAAAGTATGGGGCAATAGAAATGATATAAGGCCGAGTATCAATGTTACAAACGTCGAAGATATACTGGGCAACGACAGAATGACAACTTCGGTGGGACTTAAGAACAAAGGAACGCCATACATACCAGATATTCCCTAGCATACGACAAAGATTGAAAATGAAGCACCTATCAGTCAACCATTTCATATCTCAAGCAATGATTGGCCATGGGGACTTTGCAGCAAAATTGTATTCATTTCGTCTAAAGGAAACCACATCGTGTTCATGTAGACCACCTCGGGAGACGGCAAGTCATACTCTCAAGAAATGCACAAATTTTGATGCGCGAAGACATATGTAGAAAAGAGAAGCTGAAAGAGGAGTAGCGCTCACATTAAAAAAACATATTTGCCACAGAGAAAATTTTTATATCCACAAAAAAATTTATTTACAAAATCAAGGAACACAAAGGATGGCACCCAAAAAATCACGAGTAATAAATATGTTTTAATTGGAGTGCGTAATAGCCACGAATTAATTGCAATTCCGCTCCCACGTCCCAACCGGATACTGCCAAAATGGCCATCCTGGACAAGCTTAAGCGTGACAAAGTTCCGTGGAGCGGAAAGGCCGCTAGGCAGAGCAAATTGGCCGAGAAAAGATAGATCCTGATAGAGCCCTTTGGGCGAAGGGGCAGCAAGAAACAAAGAACTAGCAGGTAAGGGATGACAGAAATAATCTCATTGCTGTAAGACGTAACCCTTTCGATAATGCCCGTCAGATC